TACTCTTGGTGACGTATGGTTTCATCCGGTTGCTTCAAGGACTCCTGTTATTCTTCTAGGGCATTGTGAGGCTGATAGAGGACTTTACTAATATAGATACATATGGCCTTCAACATCAGGTATTAAGAATTTTATTCATCTCCCTCTCCAAGCTCGTCACGCTACTCCTACCCGTACTACTACTCATCCTTGACGGAATTAACCACGCCACCAGCCAACATGTTAGTATCTACACACATCGGATGACAGAGATAACTCTTACTAGTCGTACCTATAGGAATACCCACAGCCCGAGCCTAGAAGGCTATTACCACATCATACTGCGACTGCGAGAAGTAAGTACTTTTCTATCCCGTTGTCTGAATATATTTACTAACTTAGTACTGCGTATAGTATTAAAGCCAAGACGTGTACGGTTTTAGGACAGCATGAGAGACGGATCATGTTTGGTACAATGGCTACATTGTGGCTGTACAGCGTAGTAATTGAAAATTTCCCTCTTGCTCGTGTTTAGTAAGTAAAAACTATAATCTCACGACTATTAAGAGTATAAGAACACTAATACGAACATTAGTCACAATGTCAAGAAAGTGGCCGAGCCTTGCGTAGTTGTTTTACACTGGCCGTACTACTGGACTTGAGATATTGTGAAGTAGTTACACAGCGCCGTATTTGTTTTGTTTAGAGGTCCATTTGTACGGTGGCGAAAGTTTATTTGTACAGCGGTCGAGATTTTCATTTTCTTAGTAGCTCGCTCAAATGAAGACCAACTGTTACTGAAATTGGTTCATAATTTTTACAATTCTTTTCTAAGATACAGCTTCTACGCTACTTACAAGCTCTCTAGAAGTTCTCTTCTAAACATATTTGTTTCCAGATGATCTGAAAGATATTTTTTAAATCATTTTAAATATGTAAAATACGTTAACGCGTCCACTTCCTAGCTAGGGAAGCTTTGAACAAAGATGTGACGGCGCCGGCCATGCCGCCATGCCTACCTATGCCCATGGAGGTTTACGCCAAAGGTGTTATGAAAGTAGGAGGAATGCGTTGATGAAGAAGGTCTTGGCGCTAAGACGGGTGCGGCGAGACTAAGCCGCTTTAGGGTTGTTTGCTATAGTTTGCCCTGCAAGTAAATGGGCATGGAAATAAAAGATTAGTAAATGACGACCGGTAAGTGGGCCCCGTAGTTGCTTCCGTGACAGGGTATTTAAGACCGGTTTCGCACGCATATATGTAATTCCCCCCCTTTTTTTTTTCTTTCCCTATCTAAAATGTTCTAATATAAATAGAATCCTAGCTTTGCCTTCAATTTTCCTATCTTATACCCTTGCGTTCTTTCAGATCGATTTATTCATTCTTAGGAAGGATAAATTCTAAAACAAACGGATAATAGAATCCGAATTGATAGTTTAACATACTACAATTATCAATAAGAAGATTACTAATTATAACTCCCCATACTATTTGTAGTAGTAAAAGTATTAACCTCAACGTTAAGTATTACGAAGCTACTAATAGTTCCGACGACGATTACTTCGAGGAAAAAAGCAATTAAACGCTTTACCTGGATAATATTAGCAACAAAGGTAATTCCAAATCGTTAAAAGAGAAGCATAAAACTACTATTGAGTTTAATACCGATAGTAATTGTCACAGGGTTAGCCTGTGTTGTGTTGTTACATGTCTGGCGACAGTGCTGTAGCTTCTAAGATTACAGTAATGTCATAACCGCTGCTACGGTCGTGGTCACAATTGCAACTACTACCATAGTTACGGTAGGGATTGGCTAATAAGAGCCCAAGTACTATAGATCTACCAACCAGGTAGATCCTATACGTGGGCCAATATAAAGCCATCGTTCTAGGCATGTATTTACACTCTCTTTCTTATTCTTTCGTACAATTACGTATAATTACATCTACTATCTACCCCTTTCCCATGATAATTAATTACACTTTTTAATTATTATATTTGTATTGTAAATACTATTGTCTTTTGTCACGGCGAATGGAGGAAAGGAATACGACAAAGCGACAATGACCCTACTATGAATGAAGATCAAAAGGTGAGGAAAAAGAAGAACTAGAATACAAAGAATGGCTGCGACGCAAAGGATATACTGTGCACTGCCAAGAACCATGCAGCCATAGGAGCAATGCTGACCAGCAGTTGAGCCGCGCCGTCACATCACCCCCCCTCAAAAAAAAAAAAAGACTCGCCTCGAGTCTACCGTAAAAAAATAATAATTCTGGTGCGCGCACACCGACTCGAACCGACAACCTCTCATTAATAAACGACCACAATACCAAGCCTACTTCCTCCGCGCCCGTGGCGATCTTCGTCTCACTCCTTGTTGTGCCGGGCTATCGTCATCGTCGTCGTCCTCCAAGAACTTGTCTTCCGCTGCCGCCTGGAACCATGCCTGTACCCTTACCGGCGGTCCTGGAGCTGTTGGGTTGTCGTTGTGGAACTCTTTAATTCCCGTAGCCGCATTCTTGAAAGAGTAACTGTGCTACAGGTTCCGTCATATACTGGCGGCTCGCCCACTGGGCGATACGATTATAAGTGTTGGGCCGCGTTTACGCTATGGGCAACACATGATTTACATTGGCAGTAGGCCTCGGTTTGCCCTCGGATTAATGGTTTTGGTGGAAAATTAGGGCAGTGCTCTTAATTTTGTATGCTAGACTCACCGGTGCGGCACGTCTCATGCCCTACGAGAGGCGGAAGTAGACGTTAAAATAACAAGAACAACAAAAAGCCGCATTCTTGAAATCTCGTGCAGGCCACCATGTCGGGTCAGGGTCCCAGCCCCGCCATTGCACCTGGTACTCGAGCTTGCCGTAGTGGACGCGTGACGCGACAACATGGTCCACTTCCCATTCCTCGTTGTCGTTGATCATTTCGCCTTCAGGGGATTCGGCGGCCTGGCCTGGCAAAGGGTTGTTTGGGTAACGGCGTAAGCGGTCCGGTGAGAACTGGTTTGTCACCTTCCAGTTTGGGGGAAGGTCCAACTTGTAAGCGTGTCCCACTTTCTCAATGGTCCGAAAGACTTTTCTAGTCCGAGGGAAGTCCAATTTGTCGCTAGGCCTTCCGTCGGTAGACCAATTCTTCTTAATGATGGAAACCTCATCACCTACATCGAAGTCCGGAATCCGCCGATGCTTGTTCGCTTGTATCACTTGTTTGCGCTGTGCTTGGTTGTTGTTGTTGTTCTTGTTGTTGTTGTTGTTATTTTTAACGTCTACTTCCGCCTCCCGAAGGGCATGAGACGTGCGACCGCTACCAGAATAGATACAAGGAAGAGCCCAAATCCTCCCTCTATAACCCCAAAAAGTAGAGCGCAAACCACGGCTTAAAGCCAGATAAATTCGTTGCCCCCGAAAAGAGATACCTTAATTAGGAGCCCCAATCCGCATTTGCTGCTCGGGCTGAGCCCTCCTGTCCGCGCCCGTGCACGGACTCCCACAAATCCCGTAGCTGATTTGAAGTAATAGAGGTCAACGCCGTTGGAGGGAAACCTCAAGGGGAGAAACCTCCAAAATTGGTCCGCCATCCTCCCTTAGTTGAAAAGGAGATAGTCGATGTGGTTGTCGATATCATTGAGGATTGAAGAAGATATAGCGATTAGAATGCGGCCCAGCCGTTTTGGGTCCGGCAAGCGGCATCCTAAGGCAGAGTTGACGCGCTGTGCTTGGATAATGGTGGCTCGGGCTTGTTCGACATGACCCTGTATTTTAAGGGCTGCGTCTCTGGCTTCCTGACGCGACAGTCGTTCCGCCGTAGGGAGGTCCTCCAAGGGTGTGAAAGTCTTCCATTCTGCAAAGGCGGACATGGGGAATTTGAACATGACTTCATGGGGTTGCAGGCCTGTAATTTCGTAGTATAAGCCATTCTGTGCATAGTCCAGAGCTGGGATCAATTCAGACCAGTTGTCTTGTGCATGGTTGATGAAAGGGCGAAGTCTCTGGTCTAAATATTCATGCAGATTTTCTACCTGTCCAGCCGTCTGTGAGTGCCCTGGCGATGCAAAGGACCATTTGGTGCCCATAATGCTAGACATTTCTTAACTAAACGCCGACTTAAATTGGGGGCCTTGGTCGCTTACAATTTCCCGCGGGGGGCCAAGGAGTCTAAAAGGCCCCTTCATAATACAAGCGACATGCTTCTTTGTCAGTGATATTGCTCCGGCAGGGGATCAGCTAACTTCCTTTGGATAACGGGTCGATAATGCTGAAAATGTTGTCATATCGGTGCCTATGCAAGGGCATCTTCTTGAAGTCAATGACGATCCGGCGCCACGGTCTTCTCTGCACCTCCATCGGCTGTAATTCTCCCGGGGTCTTGTCTCGTGGGTGCTTAGAAGCGTGGCACATCAAGCAGTTTGCCACATAGCGGTCCACATCCCCTGACAGTCCTGGCCACCAATACCTCGTGGCTACCAGTCGTCTCGTTTTGTTCCGGCCGGGGTGGGCGGTGCCAATGCCATCATGGCATTCCCGTATGGCTCGTGTCCTCAGATCATTCTGTTCCGGCACCACCAGTCGTCCTTGGTAGAGCAAGATCTGGTCCTGTAGTAGTGTGAATCCGGAGTCCTACTCTGTAGCCTTGTGGCGGTAGCCCTCAAGGGCTGGGTCTTCCTTGTTAGCCTTCAGTAAATCTGTAACCACCTCGTAACCTGTCCCCGCCAAACGTGTGTCGTCGTCATTCGCCGGATCCAGTGTGCAGACGGGAGGCAGCGCACCTTCCCCCCCCCCCCCCCCCCCCCCCTTCGGGCGCTTCGAGCGGTTTGAAAAGGCGCATATGACGCTGCGCATCCTTATCTTTCTGTGTCTTCAAGTCCACCGCCTTCCTAGACAGAGCGTCCGCCGCGGCATTCTCCTTCTCTGGCCGGTGGGTAATGTGAAAATTATACTGGGAAAGAATCCCGGCCCATGCGGCCTGCCGGGAGCTCAACAACCTCTTTGTACTGAAATACTTGAGTGCTCCGTGATCCGTGAAGATGGTAAAAGGCCACTGTTGAAGCCCTATGAGTTCCGCCCGCCAACACAAAGGTGCTCGCATGACTGCCAGCATCTCCTTATTGTGAATCGGGTAATTATGCTCCGCTTTTTGCATAGTTTCCGAATAGAAGGCCACCGGGTGCCAACCGTCTTCATGCTCTTGCGACAACACACCAGCCAACACACCGTCTGAAGCATCTGTTTCCATCCTCGTTGCATGCCCATACTCGAAATGGGCTAAGACTGGAGCCTCCAGGAGTCTCCTCTTCAGCTCGTCAAAAACAATCCGGCAATCCTTAGACCACTCAAAAGCTTCCCCCTTCTTTGTCGGCCTTGTCAAGGGCCTTGCCACACGGTCATATTTCCTCACGAATTTCCGGTAGAAGTTGCAGAACCCTAAGAAGGACTGGACCCCCTTCACCGTGGTTGGTTCTTTCCAATCCTTCACAACCGCGACCTTCACGGGATCCACCGATACTCCGTTGACGCCGATGATGAACCCCAAGAATTTCGTCTCTTGGACATGGAATTCGCATTTGTCTAGATCCGCTTGTAGCCCGGCAGCCTTGAGGCGCTGCAGAACTTTCAGAACGTGACTCTTATGTTCTCCCAGCGTATTGGAGTAAATGAGGATATCGTCAATGTACGCGCTGCAGAAGTCGTCCAGGTACCCCATCAAAGCATCGTTGATGTACCGCTGAAATGTCGAAGGCCCATTTGTCAACCCGAAGGGAAGGACCTTGTACTTGTATGCCCCGTATCGGGTCCTGAATGTTGTCAACTCCTCATCGTCAGGGTGCATTCTGATGCGATGGAAAGCCTGGCGAATGCCGATCTTTGTAAAGAACCTCGCTTGAGAAATCCGGCAAAGTGTTTCCTTAATCAAGGGCAATGGGTATCTGTCTTTCCTGGTAATGGCGTTCAACTTCCGGTAGTCCACGCAGAACCTCAGTTTCCCGTTAGCCTTAGGAAGGAACAGGATAGGTGCGGCCTAGGGCGCAGCACTGCTCTTGATGAAGCCTTTGTTGAAATTCTCGACAATGTATAGGCGGCACGCCTCCAGTTCATCGGCACTCATCTTGTATAGTGAACGGTATCCTAGGTCTTCAGGCCGGCTGTCCTCGTTCAACTTGATTCGATGGTTGCTGTTTCCAGGTTCTGGGAGGTGTCCGATTGTCGCTTGCTGGACACTCTCAAGTATTGGTGACAATACTCTGGCACCTTCTCACGAGCCCGGGCCATCAACTCTGCCTCCTCTTTATCCGTACCCCCGCTTTCCTGCGCCCTCCTTTCCTCGATAAAGCGATCAATCTCGTACAGGCTTGTCGCTCCGAGGTGTTCCCTCTCCGCCATCGACATCAACCCAACGGATCCGATGATATAGCCATATCAGGCATACGTTCCTTGTACCAAGCCGCTCCTCTCCGCCAGCGGAAATAGCCCTCCTCGTCCTTCTGAATGCCATTGCTGTAGCCTCGTTCACCCTTATGCTCCAGCTCCTTCTGATACCGCCTTAGGTCCTCCTTCAAATCTTTCTGTCGCTCTCGCCATACCTCTCTGTCTGCTTTCTTGTCAATAAGAGGCAGTGGACCATCTGATAGGTTCTCCGCTAATTCACGCTCTATGCGGGCTATTTCGCGTATGACCGGGTCATCAGACTTGACGAGGTTCGGTCGCTGCAATATCTGTATTGGAGTATTGCCAACTGGCGGGGGCGGGGTGTCACGGTGACCAGAGACCCGGACAACGCCTCCAATTGTTGTATCTCCTCTTGACAGCGGCTCCATTACGGTGTCTCTTATCATCCTTTTCCATCAAGGCTTCTCCTCTCAGCATCAGCCTGGTGTGATGGTTCAGGTTTCGTATTCCGGTATTCGACGTGAATATTCTGGATCCAATTGGGATCCTTGGACCAAGAGTCGTCAAATAACAATCGACGGCAATGGCAGTCGATACCCACATCGTGATGCTCAAACCACAGACGCTCGATGATCATGTCGTGGTGGATGTCGACGACTACGAGCCACTCGTTGTAGGCGGTGCGATGTTGGAACGTAACGTTGGCGTTGATGGCCCGCGTGATCTTCTTGCTTTCGTCTCCGGAGAATGGCCCTCCGATGTATACGGGCTTGAACTGATGGTTTACTTCTGGTTTTAAACATTGGATTAACTTGGCGGCAGTCTTTTCACTGATCAAAATATGTGCAGCTGCTCCCGAGTCTATGATGGCTTCTTTGATGGTCAACGAGATTCTATTACTACCTACTTTGGCAGTCAATGCAAAGGGGGGACCCCCCAAATAACTTTCCCAAGAAGTCTTGTTTGGTGCCATTAGGCGGCTTTCCTTGCCGGAACATATAAACTGCTCCCTTGAACAGGAGCCTTCTTTGTTCAGGGTATTTAGTTTCCCTTCTCCTCATCAGCAGGCTTGTCCTCCTTCAGAGTCTCATCGGAATCCTGGATACCGTAACGAGCGTATACAGCCTGAAGGCGAGTGTGGCGGTCTGCTTTGCTCGCGGTAGGTCCTCCCTTGTTCTATCCATTCTTATCAGGGCACTCCTTGGCGCGGTGGCCTTGCTGCTTGCAAATGAAGCACATGCCCTTCTGATACATCTCGTCAATTTCTTCCTTGCTGGGCGTCTTCTGGTTGGACGAGTTGGAATTACCTCCAGTCGACGAGGAGCCTCTTCCTCCCCGTCCCTCCGTGTTGTTCCTTCCCCTAGCACTGGCAGAGAAGTTGTTCGACGTGATAGACCGCTTGGCTGCCTTTTGGGAGTACGCAACCTGCTCCGCGGTCTTCACGTAGCCGTCAAAGTCGACCACGTCCAGCGTAACATAGAGAGCCATTCCCACTTGGAGCTCCGGGGAGAGACGGCGGTGAAAAGCCTCCTTCCATTGGGACTGGGCTAGTTGGCACTCGCCAGCTAGACGCACGAATTTGTCTTGAAGATATGAAAGTCTTCTTGATACATACGCAGCTTCTCAAAGTCCTCCATGGCTTAACGAGCCGTGTTCGGGTTGTCGTATTGACGCTTGAGATGTGCCATCAAGGCTTTGGACGTTGTAATCTGGTTCGGATGGGTGTCGCGCTGGTAGGGTTGCAAGTCTTTGGTCGCATAACCAGCAAGGCGGTTCTCAATGTAAGCTTGTCTAGCCTCTTCGTCGGCAAAGTGGTCGGCATTGACTTTCAACTTGTTAGCGACGGAGCGGTACCAAACCTCGAAAGTGACCGTGTCCTTGGATTTGTCCGCGTAAAACACAGGCGGGTCAGAAATCTTAGAGGATTTGCCTCTGGCCGAAGTGACAGAGATCGAACCGGGAGTAGCACTGCAACGGCTGGGGTCGCGAACGACGTCAACGATGGTCTGGTTCAGGGAATCAATTTCCCCCTTGGCCTTGGCCAGCTCGTTCTCTTTGGCATCGAGGATGGCCAGCAAATCTTCCACCATCTCGCGTTGAGAACGAGCCCGGTTGGTCGCGTCGTCCTCCTCCTCAAAGGCAGGCTCAATACCTTGGTCGCGTAGGCGGCGGGCTTTCTCGCGGTTGGCTCTGTCGATGGCCGCCTCCACACCCTCAGGATGGGCGGTGCGTTCGTCACTGCGGTCATCCTCGTCGTTCTCGATGGTGGTGCGGGGTCCAGCCTTGTCCGACTTCTCGGGAGCCTCAGCATAGAGCTCCTTGAAGTGCATAATCCAGTTGTGCAGGTAGACCGTAGTGCGATCCAGACGATGCGCAATGACGAAGACCTCTTTCTTCTTGTTTTTTGTAGGCCAGCATAGCAAGAGCGCGGGCCTTTATCTCCAAAAACATAACCTTGGGATGCTTCTGGACCTCCGAAACGAAGTCACCGTATCCCATCAAGTCATTGAAGCGAACGCGGTCCGCTCCCATGTCGAAGATGGGCTGGAGAGGGAAGCAAGGTCCCTTGCTACTGGATGTGTACCGGGCGGCCATCTCTTGGACTTGGCTTGTAAGTCTTCGAGCATGTCGTCCGTCGTGTCTGGGAAGCGGAGGCTTTGAACTTGGGGGAGCACATTCTCAACGTAGTACTCAAAAGTAGCGTTGTCAGTCACCTCACCGTCTCCAGCTCCTTCGACCGCCTTGAGAGTTGCAGTCTGGGTTTTATGGATGGTTGAGACGCGGCGTTGGTCGATGGACTTGCGGCTCAGACGCGTCTTTGCGACAGGATCTTTCTGGTTCAACTTAGCGAAGTCAAAGGTAACTTCTTGGATGGCTTGCGCCTTCATCTGGGCGGCTTCCTCGGAGTCGCGCGCCCTCTTAGTGTCTGGAGTCCAAATATTCAAATTCTTCAAGTCTGGGTCTGGGTTGACGTTCTTGTCATGGGGTGCGGGCAACTGTCTTGTCGCGTGCGATCAATCTTCTGGAAAAAAGGTGAGATGTTTTAGATCGTCCCTTATGAGTTTATTTGATCTCTCGATTGTCACGGCGAATAGAGGGGAGGAATGCGACAAAGCGACAATGACCCTACTATTGAGTGAAGATCGAAAGATGAGGAAAAAGAAGAACTAGAATACCAAGAATGGCTGCGGCGCAAAGAATATATTGTGCAAAGGATATACTGTGCACTGCCAAGAACCATGCAGCCATAGGAGCAATGCTGACCAGCGGTTGAGCCGCGCCGTCACATCTATTGCACAATTACTTTTATTGATTATACGCGCGTATAGGGACTACTTCGGCCGGTGAATAACTAAGCCTCATACTGAGTATCGATAGCCGATATTGCAACTATCTAAAATTGCTAACCTTTAATGAATAAGGCTTACTTTACGCCATTCTCTTCTTATTTTACGATCTAATAATCAGTAATGTAAATAGCGACTCTATGTACTTTTTGCGCTTTGGGAATAATTACAATAGTAATATCCTAGCTTTTGGTATCCTTCCCGCTACTACTAACCTTTTTAATTTTGAAGGAATCCGCGACCTGTTTGATAAAGCTTTTATTGTTAATACAAGTATTTACTGTGTAGCGCTTTTCGAACTTCCTTAAACCCCCACTACTATTAACTGTTTAGCTAGAAATAATAATGATAAAAATGAATGAATACTTCCTGATATTGATTGTAATAATATGATTTGATTAATTTTAACCTCAATTTTCTATTCTATCATCATTTTGTTTGACCGGTTTACTATATCTAATTGTCCTTCTGCAAAAATATGCCTACTGATTGTGAAAGAACTGAAAGTGATTTAAGTATTATTCGTTTTATTATGAATGATTTTCAAAATGACTTCGATTCAAAGAATTTCGCTTACGTCCAGGTGGAAGTGCAGTCTACTATCTTTTAGAAATAGTATAACGCCCTAATTGCGGATTATGATAGTATTAAAGGTTCTAATACTAATTTTCCGACAGTTATCGATAATTATCAAGTTAATAATACCTCTCTGCAAACGATACCACCACTCTTAGCAATAAAATAACTACCCGTCCACATTAAACGGTAGAAAACCACGTATCTTTATAAGTAGAAAGAAGGTTACTTCCGCCCGTAAACATAAGATTTTTAAACCTATTTCTATATCCAATTCTAGGAAAGGTATAATGCCCTGCTCTACGTTGACGATAACGTTAACATCATTTGTATTATCGTATTATTTAGCTTAAAAATTTCTTTCCAGTATTGAAAATAACTTAGAAATTATTTGAATTAACCCTATCGTGAAGAGTTAGTGTTGGAAAATTTAGGAAAGAATTTATGAATTACTTTACTAATTGTTTCTTAAATCCTGCTTTTGATATAAATATTAGCCGCTACCCATAGCAATTCTCCA